CGAAAAATTTTCGACGACGTTGTATGGGAGATATTTTTCGCGTTTGTTTTGGGTATGCATCTTGTTATTTTATTATTATGGAACTTAGTGGGGATAAGATTGAGAATGAATGAATTTTATTTCTTTTAAATGTTTTGATTCGCCATTATAAGGATATTAATAAGAAACCAAAATTATGCACACGTAAATAGAATAAGAAGAGTTAAGAATATAGTGGTGCACTATTTCCCACACACCCACTAAGAGCAGATACAGTGTTCGTCGAGGAGCAAGCCGAGGCACCACTGTTTTCGACATCGGGTCTTCCCAAGCCAATGGACGAAGGCGAGACTGGTGGTTATACCCAAGGGCAAATGGGACCCAAACTCTCCTTCATCCTTCCGGCCACTCTGCATGCTAGACAGCAGGCAAGATGATGGAGAGTCTGCGCAAAATACACTTGACGTCAGCCATAGAAAGCGAGGGAGGCCTTTCACCCCGACAACATGGCTTCAGGAAGGGGCACTCAACTATAGGAGCGATTGGCGAAGTAGTCGAGGCGGTACATAAGGCCGAAGAAGCCTGCCACCAGGCGCGGCCAATAGTGCTGCTAGTCACACGACGTCAAGAACGCCTTCAACTCGGCAAGATGGGACGACATGCTGGAGGCCTTGGAACGGTCATTCAAGGTTCCAACATACCTGCTAGATATGATCCGGGACTGCCTCAAGAGACCGTTGGCTTTTGTTCGACACAACACAAGGTCAGAGAAAGAGACGTATAACCGGCGGAGCGGCACAGGGGTCTGTACTTGGCCCGGACCTCTGGAACGCCACGTATGACAGTCTGTTGCGCACGGAAATGTCGGAGAGCGCCTTCCTTGTCGCCTTCGCGGACGACGTGGCCGCCGTCATAACAGCAAGAAACGTCCAGCTAGCACAGCTCAAACTAAACCAGGTCATGCGCAACGTCAGTGGATGCGTGAGCGATCACGGTCTGAAATTGGCTACCGCCAAAACAGATATCGTGCTCCTCACCAGGAAACGGATCCCAACAATTATAAACATGATGGTCTGACCTCAACTCGTCACAACTTCTAGGTATACAAAATACCTAGGGGTGAAGCTGGACAGCAAACTCACATTCTGGGAACACATCCATGGAGTATGTGAAAAGGCTGCGCAGAGCACGGTGGCTCTAAGCCGGCTGATGGCGAACGTGGGCGGCCCGAAGCCATGCCGCAGGAAGCTTCTGATGACAGCAGTCCAGTCGGTGCTCCTGCACGGGGCAGAAATATGGGCCGACGCATTGAAAGTCAAAAAATACCGGATTCAAATGTCTTCGGTCCAGCGCAGAGGGGCACTACGTATTGCTTCTGCATACCGTACAGTGTCCGCGGACGCGGTTCTAGTTATTTCTGGCGTCATGCCAATTGCTTAAGCGCGAAAAGAGATTTACAATCTCAGTGCCGTGATAGGTCGAGCAGCTGCCGCGGCAAGGGCGCGCGAGCAACTAATCCAGCAGTGGCAACAAAACTGGAACACGAGCACAAAAGGTCATGAGGAAGTCGATTTCTACCTGACGCAATTCCTCACCGGTCATGGTTACTTCCGAGAATATCTTCATAGAATGGGAAGGGTGGACTCACCGTTCTGTCACTACTGTGCAAACGTCGAAGATAACGTGTACCACACATTCTTCTCCTGCGAACACATCTTGACTTCGCGCAGTATGTTGGAAGAAAGACACGGAGACATAGCTCCGAACAACATAATTGGGGTAATGATCTCCAGTGCAGACAAGTGGGAAGCAGTTGCGATATACGGGAAATTCGTACATCGCTGCAAACGAGAGGACGGATGTCTACTGAGGACACCCGAATGAAACGCCCCTACAAAAGAGCAGCCCCGAGGCTCTAGCAGCGCGCTCCTGCATCNAAAACTGCATACCCGAAAATTTTCTAAATATTCTAATTAAAAATTTTGAAATTTTGATGACAATTTTTTGAAGTTTGATTAATTTTTTTGCAATTTGTGCAAGCTTTGCAACTTTTGTTATTGTGGTTTTTGATATAGATTGAATTATATTTTAAATGAAAATTATTAAAAATAAATAAACATAATTTGCAAGCAATATCGTTTTGAATTTCGTTGCTAATTAGTTGCACGCATCTGTACATATGTATATACCACCATAATTCATATATTTGTGCATATTCCTACATTCCTTCCAACCGAAAGCACTTGCTTGCATTACTTACAAATCCTTATGTACATATGTATGTATGCGGTATGCATAACAAAATGCATACCCAAAACAAACGCGAAAAATATCTCCCATACAACGTCGTTGAAAATTCTTCCCTATAAGCTGTTGTGAGTGATCGCGAATGGATTACTTTCCTCGTTATTCTCGTTTATGAGAGGCCGACATCGGCAATGCTCGGACTTCTCATCAGTGATCGGACTTAAAAAAAATTCTGTGTAGTAGAATCTTGAAAAAAATGTGGTAGATCTTTGGGTTTGGATCAAACTTTGTACAAAAATTAAAAAAATTCTGCAAGGTTTCACTCAAATGGCAAACTTTTTAATTAGACTCTAAAAAAATTTAATTTTAGTATAATAAAGTGCAAGATTGAAGTTGCTAAAAATTGCGTTGAGTTTTGGAAATTATTTTCCTTGACAGTGTAAAGCAGTTCCTTTCATATTAAGATATTTTTCGAACATATTTTAAGAGATTTCTGCAACCTTGCGGAGTGCTGCCAGCTTTTCTTTTTATCACATCACGAAGTAGCGTACAAATGTGGCACGTTCCAGAAACAGCTAATTGGGATTTGCTGATTTTTACAATTTTCAAGTGAAAGTAAACATTTTCGATATTAATTCTTTTTATAAATCATATATTTTGCAATTTAACATAATAAAACCGCGTTTTCTGTCGAAAAATTGATTACTGAGAAAATTTACTATTTCACAATTTATTTTATTCTCGCATTCGGATTTGTTTACTTATGTCAAGCAAAAATAAAAGTACTCAAAAACGCGAATATGTGGTAGATTTCAGACCTTGAGTGGTAGTTGTGGTAGATGCTCAAACAAGTGGCAGATCTACCACAATGTGGTAGAAGCCCGATCACTGCTTCTCATATTCGAGTGAGAGGAAATTTCTTTGCTTTTTTCGATCGCGAATGAAAAGCAGCGGAAATTTTTTTGTCGATCGCATTCCGAATGTGAGAGATGATAAATTTGTTTGCATTTTTCACTCGCGATAAAATAATGCAAAAATAGACTTGGAATATTATCGATCGTGATAAATCTCATAAATGATTGAAAGCGAATAATCATAAATGAGAAGTTCCGAACCCTGCTTTTTAATCAGAACTTTGGTATGCAGTTTTGTAGACCATTTAATTCTAGTATAATGAAATGCAAGTTTCAAGCTGCTATAAGATCCCGTTAAATTTTGGGGTTTTTTTTGCCGGCAGTGTTCTCCATATAAAATAAAACTGTCGAACATACTTTTGTATGGCAAAAACGTGAAACACCTTCAACCAAAAAAAAAAAAAATTTTTGCGAGCTGTCTAAAATGTTTTTTGATGTTGGCTGTTGTCTTTCGCTTCACCTGAACCAGGGTTGTGGCGAATATTCGCATTCGCATTCGCAACTGCGGAGCTTCCGCATTCATTTTAACATTCGCATTCGCAATAATCAATGCGGAGCTTTTGCGAATGCGAATGTTGTGCAAGTGCCCCGATAAAACGTATATGTGGCAAACAAAATGACAAATTGTAGCCAGTATTTGTGTAACAAAACTGGGCAAATGTCATATTTATCAACTTTGATAAAAATGTCTTTAACATTATTATTATCTTAAGCTTTATAACCGAGCTATCAATGGACAGTCAAACAAGTTCCCACTTCTACTTGACCTTTGACATACGTCAAAGGGAACATAGTCCTTTTAATAATATTTTTTTTTTCTGTGCTTTAAATACCTGCATTGGTTTCTTTCTTTAAATCTTAAAAAAACACTACTAGACACAAAAGAAGAAAGTGTGCACTGTAAATCTTAACCAAATTTTCGTGGTTTGCTTTTGATGTTACATATCGCCACCTGAAACGCAAAAAGACGTAACAAACATCGTCGCTGCAATACAAAAAGTCGTAACTATTTAATAAAAAATTCAAAATTCAGTTTTTGATTGATATGATGGATTTCATCGAATTACAACTCCCACATCATTTTATGAACAAAAAATAAATAAAATTTGTCACGACTTTCCATTTCAGTTACGATGTTGTTACGTCTTTTTGCATTTCAGGTGACGATATATTCGTTTCAATCATTTCAAGTGGGGCTCTTTGGGGAATTTATTTTTAACAAAAATTTTAAAAACGGTAAGTTTTTTTACTTGTCGGGCAATTTTTTTTTTCATAGGGATATACGTTGGATCCTTGGCTAAAAACTTCTGTGGTCAAACTGATGCTCAAATAATTAAAAAGGTATATGTAGGTATTACTTTTAATTAGATAAGAATTGCATAACTATCTGTGTTTCAAACGTTTATAAAAAACGGGTTGCTTTTTTAAAAAAATAATATTCTGATCCGATTCGGCTGGCAGCCATGACTTTGAAAACGGAATTTTGTTCAAAAATAATAATAATATTTTCCACAAATTTTTCAAACCGGTAGCAGAAGAAAGTATTGAAAATGAATTACAAAAACTAAAATCGAAAAACGCTGATGATGTTACAGATTCCCCAAATTCTGAAACAGCCAAAGGAATGAGAATGAAAAATTCTTTTTAAAAAGCTTTAGAACCTGACCTATGTATCTGGTTTGGCTTGTAAGCGCTGTTTAAACAACGATCTAGCCATTATGCTAGATTCCAATTGTTTCTTAAAAATACTTGACATCCGCATTCGCGGATGTTAGCTGTTAGATATTCGCATCCGCATTCGCATCCGCGGATGTCTAAAATTCCACATTCGCAACATCCCTAACCTGAAACTATGAAAAGAAATTCCAAATAATCGGCAAAAAAGACCGATGCCGGTGCCGATGCTCAATTTCGTGCCGATACTAGCCGATGCCGATTAATCGGTCGGACTCTACAACTCATCTGTCAAGAGCGAAACATATAATAGTGTTATTTTTCTCATACATATATATATTTATTTAATTTTCGACACAATGTTACTATTAGTTCTAAACGTAACATCGCAACGCGAAGTTTTCGAAAATATGCATTTACTGCAAAATATGCTGAAATATGCGTTTAGTCAAACTTTATATTTTTTTGGAAAAACATTTAAGCATTTCATCAGCGTGTTAACATTCCTGACAAAAACATGGCCGAACATATTTTGGGTTGCCCTAATTATAATAAACCTATTAATTTGCACCGTGAATCGTAGGACGGAATCAGGAAAAACGGAGAAGGATCTTCTGGACTCTTTCCAATCGATTTATGTGGATTGCATGATATGGCCTCCATATAAACACTGCATATTCAAGTTTGGAACGTACAAAAACAGAATACAGTAATTTATAAGATAACGGATCCGAGAAGTTAAAGAAGTGGCGTCTGACAAATGCAAGCATGGATAATGAATTTGTAATAATTAGGGCTCGGAATCTCATGCAATAAAAAATCGAAAATATGCGCATATTTATAATATGCGCTATAAACAAGTAGAATATGCAATTAAAAATATTTATTGCCGGTAGAAAAATAAATAACACATGCATTTTAACAAGAAAATAACGAAAACAATTCACTTCAAAATACAATACATATTTCTATATAAAATTTGTTTATAATCAAGCAGACTGTCTGCTGTAAATAGAAACATTCACAGTTTAATAGTGGTTCAGATGAATGTTTGGTTGGCAGAGCTGTGCAATTACATTACAATTACAATTACATTCCTCAGTAATTGTAATTAGGATTCAATTCCTTCAGTTCACAGCAAAGGAATCGATTACTTTTTCAATTCCTTGAAGTAATTTCAAATGGAATTGTTTTTTTCTTTAATTCCATTACAAGGAATTTCATATTGTAATTGGAATAAATTACGTGCTAGTAATGTAATTTCTTTTATTTCAATTCCTTTGAAAGGAATTGAAAATGTAATTTTTTTTCCAATTCCTTTCAAAGGAATTGAAAATGTAATTGATTTTTTTTCCAATTCCATTCCTCAAAGTAATTTAAAAAGTAATCGAAAAATTTATAAAAAAAAATTGTTTACTGTTGAATTGCAATAGCTTTGTTAAATTTCTTGGTTGCTAACTGCCTTGAATAAACAACTTATACCTAAGTAGTATTACTAATTGGACTTTAAGAAAACTGAATAGCTTAAACTGTAGCTGTTCAGTTTATAGGGTAACGGTTAAATTTTCCAGATCCTACCGCGAACGCGCTTCGCGGCGGATGAGACCCATAAATGTCGAAGCAGGCATAACCCGCCCGGACTGTTGCTGCCTTGGGCACTGCTGTTCTCTTGGACTAATCCTTGCGTATCTATAAAAATGCACTAACTTAATTGTGTATATTATGGTACCATTAATTCTACCCAAAATGGCGTGCCTTCTGGGGCCTTTGAAGTTCTCTTACTGGTATCCTGCGTTACAAATGAGGATAGAGTCCGCTTGAATTACGAGCCCTGTCGGACTGGAGATCCTACCTCCTAAGAGTTTTATAAACAAATTGCATTGCTATGGCTAAATTTTGATGTTAACACTGTAACGACGCTAAAATTACACAAAAAAACCGAGAGACGTACAATTAATTTTAAGTAGTATTGTACGGATCTGTATACCGTTTTTTTAAGATAAGGTCATTTAGTCAAGTTATTTTCATTTTAAGTTTTCATTGCGAATGATAAAAATTGAAACTCTAACATGGTCATATGGTCATGTACGATATGGCGTATGAGTAACATTGTTTCCTGCTAGTATTTCATACAAAATTATTTGCACTTTCACTTAACCCTTGCAAACTGGTTTATTTATCCATCGATTTTNGAAACTCTAACATGGTCATATGGTCATGTACGATATGGCGTATGAGTAACATTGTTTCCTGCTAGTATTTCATACAAAAAATTATTGCACTTTCACTTAACCCTTGCAAACTGGTTTATTTATCCATCGATTTTCATTGTTAGTAGTGTTTAAGCAAAATAAGCAGATATTGGCTAGTCTATACTAATATATATTTTGAAAGCCGTTTTTTCTGTTCGCAAAGGTCGAGAAAGGCCGTACCGATTTTTTTTGAAATTTCGGAATCTACTGCAGACTTTCCAAGGATGGTTATAGGCTAAAACAAGTTTCGATATAGAAAGGGGGCGGGAGGTGTCCCATACAAACCGAATTTTTCAAACTGCATATATTTGTGGTAGAGGACTAGAACTGGGTATGGTGATATCTATATACATATATAAGACCAATTCCATACTCATGGAGAAAAATTTGCATGGTTGGAGAATGGCGTGTGGCACCTCCCATATAAACCGAACTTTTCATATTGCATATTTCTGGAAGTGTTCATGGTAGACTGTAAGCCTTTTTAANAACTGCATATATTTGTGGTAGAGGACTAGAACTGGGTATGGGGATATATACATATATAAGATCAATTCCATACTCGTGGAGACAAATTTGCATGGTTAGAGAATGGGGCGTGGCACCTCCCATATAAACCGAACTTTTCATATTGCATATCTCTGGAAGTGTTCGTGGTAGACACTTCCTTTTTAAAACTCTTTAGTTTGACACCCACATGACAACATTTCATTTACTTTATCAATTTAACTGAGTTACAATTTCCAAATAGGTGGTTCTGGTACTATACCGAATAATATAAAAAAAGTTATTAAAATCGGTTCAGCCATTCTCGAGTTTTGATGACTGTGACTTACGAACACAACATGTTTATATATATAGATATACACATTGGATGTGCTTTCGATTTTAATCTTTGACCACAACAAAAATTCCACATTGTACATTCGTGAATGAACTTTCAGTTTCTCGATTACTTTTACA